ATTGATATACAATGTGGGTTAATAAATGTTTTTCCTATCTCCTTCTACTTTAGTGTTACTTCTTCTGACTCACTCTATGTCATGTGACAAGCTGTTCCAGAAAATAATCCAGCTACTCCCTTTATATTATTCAGTCTTGTACTCTAAAACTGACTTTATGTAATTTTCCCCCTTCTACTCTATAAGTAAACAGTAGATAACACACTTTAAATATATCTACTCTGTAGATAAGGGTTACAGAGTTATGGAGGAAATTTAAAAAGTTACCAGTGATATCAGTAAACTTTTCCTAAAGCTCAGTTTCCACATCTTTAGAGTGGGGATAATTAGAGTTTAGTATGAAAGAAATCTTCAGAGGCTGTATGGTGCAAATGCAGTCTACCACTGTTACCTTGAGTAAATCATTATTTTTGTTGAACCTAAGCTCCATATCATTAGAATGGGGATAACTGAAGTTCTCAGTTTCAAGGGATGAACTGGAAAGTAAATAAGACAATACAGGAAAGTGTTTAGCATAGTGGCCCAGGGGAAGTTATTTATTATTGTTTTTGCTGTTATTATAAAATAGACCCCAGAGCTTCACTATAACTAGAGCGTTTGATGCCCAAATCTGCATTCCCCAGCCCATACCACTGACCTCATGTCTGGACTTTTGTCTTCATCAGTCTATTCCTCATTTCCAACTGGGTCAAAATATCAAATTCACTGCAGCCCAAATCAGCGCTCCTTTCTATAACTCTAGCATCCCTCATGAACTAAGTTAGACAGCTGAAGTCTTCCTAGATTCCGCCCTGTGTACTTCCTTCATAGTCCAATCACATGTTCTATTAACCTGACTGCTTCAATCCCTCTATAATCTTTCCCTTTCCCTTTAGAAAAATCCATAGGTAGTCACTACTTGCTGTCTGGGTAACTGGCATAGCCTACTTCATGCAGGCTTAGCCAAGTGCTATTGGAATGATCTGATAATACCACCAGAATGACAGTTCCACAGTGAAAGCCCAGGCGTGTCATTTCTGGGTTCAAAAAAAGTCAATCTTTCAGTGAGACCTCGCAGCACTTAGGAAAAAGTCCCCAAAGAAAGCACACACAGCAGCTGCATATTTCTTTAACTTCTTCAGCTTTTGACACTACTTCCCTAAATTGGGCCTCTCCAATGTTTCTGATTTCATATAACTATCAGGTGGAATAAAAAGAACATGCCCCCTCCAGCAGATGAATATTTTTTAAAATTACATACATGTAGGAATACACTAATAAAATATTATAAAATACATTTACCAAATAGAACTCTTTAGAGAAAACAAATGAGCATTATGCAAGTGTTCCTGTTCCTGCACCAGCCCAGTGACTGCACTAGGTACCATCCTCTCAACTCCCACTACCTGTAAATTCAGTCTGTGAATTTGTACACAGAAACTCTGCTCCACCACTGTTGAGTAAGTCATTACTTTTCCTAAATCTCAGCTCCACATCTTTAGAATGGGGATAATTAGAGCTCTGAGCTCCAGAGGTTAAATTAAAAAGAAGTACAATGTATGCACAGTTCTCTGTTCTCACTGTGGTTTTACATTTAAAAAGTGTTCTGTCTACAGCAGTCAGTCTTCTGTCTGGCCTCTGCCCTTCCTTCTTATGGATTCCATTCTTTCTGCCTACTATCTACTACACCCAATTCTACCTGGTTACCTCCTTTGTATTTGGGAAAACTGAGCTTATGTGTAACAACTTTGAAAGTTCCCCTGACCCCATAACCTACCACTGCAATAGGATGGGACTTATATCAAATACTGGTAGACACATTTAAAGGAATGAATTTTAGGGCCCTCCCTGGTGGTGCAGCAGGTTAAAGCACAGCACTAAGAAGCTAAAAACCCAATGCAGCATGATTTCGATCCCCACCCAGGAGGTGATCCACATGGCGCAGCAGATGTCTCCTGACCTGCCCGCTGCTCCCCTCAGCAGGGTACTTCAGTCAATCTACCTGTTCTGCTCCCCAGTCTGTCTCTGGTGAATCCTCTCACCGCCCCTGCACCTCTGGCCTGTACCCCAATTCTGTATACATAATAAATAAATCTTAAAAAAAAAAAAACAAACACAGAATGAATTTCAGGACATACCTCTTGGGAAAAGAAGTGTTTGGTTTTATGAAGAAAGTTAACCAACTAAGACTGCCCATGATAAGGGGCAGCTCAACATTCTTTGGCTTGCTTTTAGGTCAGATGCAAATGATCAACAAGCAGGTTGTTTTTCTACCACTGCTGCTCTCTGCTTTCCAAACCAGGCGCTATAATTTATCTCACCTTCTAGAAATGTTTTTGAGGTGTCATTATTACCTCTAGGCTTGGTTCCTGCCATTCAATTCTATAGACTACTCTTCGAAATCCTGAATTCAAAATCTTACCACTACCTATATAAAACCCATCTTCCTGATGTGAATCAGCTCTCTCCATGATCTGGCTCCAATCAACCATTCTAGCCTCCTCCAACATAGTTATACTGCTTAGATCACCTTAACTTTAAACAAAATTACGTAACTCACCTCTCCAGAATATGCCCACAGTGCAATTTTTACCAATTCTCATTTTTCCTCAGAAGTATCTTCCACCTAAAGTATCCTCCCATGTAATTCTGTCTCCCAAATGGGGTTGGAATCTATCCATCTTTTAGGGTAGTGGTCCACTCCCATTCCCACTCACTATCTGATCCCTGATCTCCATATCTGAAATGCAACCTTGAATTGTATCATTTTCTAGCTTAGAGAAGAACATCCACACATTTTATTTTCATAGCAGCTCTCTTCGTGTTGCTTTTACAAACTCTACCCTAAAATCCCACTAAGATCACTACAGCCAGTAACAGAATTGGAGATTCAAATACAGGTTTTCAGACTCCAAATACCTTGTATACACCATTCCACAAGGGCTAGCTTCAAAAATCTCTTACCTCCAGAGCTCCCAAGGTGTTTTATAATTTCAATAGCACATTGATCTCTTTCATTTTACTTTAGAGTTGCTGTGTGAAAGGACTTCATGTTGTTCATCCCAGTGTTCCACAGATATACCATGTCCTTTACATAATACAGATGATAGCAATCAAGCTGAATTTAATTCATTCAGGAGTTTAACTTTCCCTCATGTTCAAAATTTCAGCTGAAGTTACTCCTCCAGAGGCAGAATATGGTGGAGGTAGGAGTGTGAGCTCCTCCCTGGGCAAATTACTCAACAGTGCTGTGCCAGTCTTCTTATTTGTAAAAAGGATAATAATTATGTCTTTGTCATAGCATTAAATTAAGAAATATAATTAGAACCACTACCCAGGGCCTCATACACACATTCAATACCAGCTGTTTTTATATATTCTATTTTATGTCCTCCACATGGTACTTCATAGGCCAAAAATTACTGATGTAAAAAATAAATTACTCCAAATAACCAAGAGAAATTTAGATTATGTGAACTGTAAATTAAGAATGCAAGGAAGGATATATACTAAATATTATAGAAATTGCCCTGAATATTTTTTTAAAATAGTCCAGCATGGGCCCTCCCGGGTGGCGCAGCGAATTCAAGTGCAGCACTAAGAAGCTAAACCCACTTCGCAAGAGTTCAATGCCCACCTGCCCTGGAGCTGACCCACATGGTGCGGCAGACCTCTCCCGACCCACCTGCTGCTCCCCACCTCAGCAGTGTACTTAGGCGATCTGCCTGTTCTGCTCCCCACTCTGCCCTTGCACCTCTGGCCTGTACTCCAGTTCTGTATGCACAAATAAATAAATCTTAAAAAACAAAAATAGTCTAGCACGTTAAATTGCCAGTAACCTGGTACATTAATTTATATAGATGAGCTCAATTTATAGTCTGTGAATTAACTATCATTATTAGAAGATATACAAATGAGATGCATGTAAGAGAAAAAAATATATTTATTTACCCTTAATTTTGTAGTGAGTAACATTTTCCTAAGCTACCTATCAGATACTAGTAAAAGGCTTTAGCAATTTGAGGTGTCTAACTCTTCACCCTGAAGGCAAAGGGCAACTGAGGTGCCGTCATCAAACTTGTAGAAGTCTTAGAAATGCACAAATTCAAGCAAGGAATTTGGGAATGCCCCAGGTCTAATGAATAAAAATAAAAAATAAAATAAAGTAATAAAAATAAAGTAAAAAATAGAGATCTCTGACACAGAGAACACTGGATCCCCGCCCCCAAACCCACACCCTCTGCCCAGTCTCATCTTGACAAGCAGGGAGGCACCACACCTGCGTGAGTTACTCTGACGCTTGGTACAGACACGCCAAGCACCATGGAGGGATAAAAGCCTTCAAGTACAACAGGTCATTCCTTACTAGGTCTCTGCAGTGAGAGGGTCGGTGAGGGCACTTCTCAGATTCCTTTTGGAACTAAAGTCCTTGATTTTGTCATATCTCCTGGAGTCTGGGGTAAGGTGTCAGGTGTGAGGCACATGCCTAGAAGTGCCAAAGACTTTGCTTAACCATAAAAGTTAAGCAGAAAGCGATACTCTAGGTGTGGTTGAACTCCGGGAGAACAAATTAGTTTGGTGAAATTAAGCCTAGAGCCAGGGAAGTAACCAAAGAAAAAAGATAGTGCTGGGAGGAACCGGCACTGACAGGGACATTTGAACTTGGATTTGAAGGTCTGAAATTGCTTCTCATCGGCCAAGGAGCACGAACACCCACAGAAAGGGAGCTGATCCTGGGTTAGCCGAGGCTTCCAGATACTGTTCTCAAATAAGTTAATGCAAGTAGAGCAGCTGTTTTTGCAACAACCAGAAGTGGGTCCTCCACTGGGCACCACTAGTTCTCAGCCAGCACACTAAGGCCCGCACCAGGCAGGGGGTGCTGCAGCAGCGGCCAACTGGCCAACTATGATTCGAGTCCAGCGAGAGGCCCGCCTCGCTGAGCCCGGGTAATCCGCTCCCTCCCGGGTCCCGAGCTGCGCCACGCAGGGCCCAACTCCGGAAGAAGTAGGTTCTTTGCCCACCTTGGTGCTAGGGTCCGGGTCGGAGCAGCAGCCGAGAGCCGCCTCGTCGGTGAGGCCGCCTGCTGCGGGCTGAGGTTCCGCCATGGTAGCACTGCAGTATCACGCCCGGCCGGCCCCGGAACGCCGCAGTCACTCTCGCCCGGTCCAGGCCGGTGCTGCCTCTAATAGCGACTGAGCGACAGCGCCGCGGGGCGGGCGACCGCTGACTTTCAGCCAATCGCTGCACGGAGAGCAAGCTGGCTCTTTGGTGATTGGTTCCCAGTGAGTCAGCGCCAACACCAGGCTCTCTACCCCCGAGACTACAATTCCCAAGGTGCCTTGCTAGTAATGGAGGAAAGTCTGGGGCAAGTTGGAAAGCCCGGGTTTTGTGTTTGACTTGATGACCTAATTTTGTTTGTGTTTAGGAAATCTTAGTAACCACCCATACCTCAATGGTAAGAAATTGGAATCTGATGGAAAGAGAATTGGGAGTCCCTCTTGTAAAATTAAATCGATTGAGAAATTTTTATTTCCTGAGTTTAAGCAACACAAGACAATTAAAATAACGGATTAGTAAACCGTCTGGGTTCAAAAGTTATGATTTCACTATTTTTTAGCTCTAGAAGATTGGAATAATTACCGGCCCCTTTCTAATCTCCCCTGCAGGACTTTGGTGAGGAACAAATGAGATTTAATTCATGACCTCACTTATATCCAAATGTCCATCCTATAGTGTGTTTTACATAAATTTTGTTCAAATATACATATATATATATTTAAGGATTTATTTATACATACAGAACTGGGGTACAGACCATGGGTGCAGGGGCAGTGAGAGGATTCACCAGAGACAGAGTGGGGAGCAGAACAGGCAGACTGACCAAGTACACTGCTGAGGGAGTAGCGGGTGGGTCCGGAGAGGTCTGCCGCACCTCTGGGCTAGGGATCGAACTCATGCTGAAGTGGCTTTAGCTTCTTAGTGCAGTGCTTTAACCCGCTGCGCCACCAGGGAGGGCCCTCAAGTATATATTTTAACTGTGTTCTTTGGAAGATTCAGTATGGCTGCGTTCCTTGATGACCAGCACTTAGTAGATGTTCAATAAATCGTTCCTGTTGTTAAAAGACTAAATGATAATGACTGGTATAAATATAATTTAGAAAAGGACTTTGAAAGGATAGGTAGGCTTGGTGCAGTTAAAGGATGGGATGTCACACCAAGTTTCTAACAAGTGGGAACTTTATTGGGCCCTTGGGCAAGGTTCACAGACCCCAAAGACAGAGTAGAAGTTAGTGAAGTAGCCCCGCTGGGGGAGTACAGGTAAGTTTTTATTGGGTAGGGAAGCTGCTTTGCTTTTCTGTTTTTGATGCAATTAATCAGCAATGCTTATCTAATGCCAGCCTGTGGAGTTGATTCCAGGAATGCAGGAAGTTCCCAGACTTAAGGAGGCTCAAGGTTAGGAGGCTCTGGGTATGCACACAGTAACAAGGTTCAAGGTTCCTACCCCAGCCTTGCCCAGCCTCCTAAACCTTACAGACTTGAAGTTAAATGTGTGAACAATGAGATTTGAGAGAGCGTTTTAAAGTAAATAGGAGGGCCTATGTAAATTAGCAAGAAAATAGATGGAGGTTAGGATTTCAGGTTGCAAAAGGATTGGTCAAATTAGTATATTGGTTCATCTAATCAAACAAAGTAGGGTAAAAAGTCACCTGGCACCAAGCTCCTGGCCACCTCCAAGATGTCTTCATCTCTCATCTCTCCTGCTTTCTACATCTCAGCTTCATTTTTTTGAATACATTTGTTTTACAAGTCTACAAAACTGGAGCTCTCAGACACTCAAGCCATTCACCAAAGGGGGTATCAACCTCTCCCCTGAATTCCAGTTTGATGAAGAGCTATGACTGGCTTAGCCTAGAATGTGTGCTTACAACTGTGGTCAGGGAAATGTGATTAGAGTTACCTGGGCATGGGGAGCCATTGCCCAAAAGAATAGAAGTTCTGTTCTTATAGGTGGGCAGGGTAAAAATTTCAACAGGAAATTAGTGTATATCTGGTGTTAACTTATTGAAAGATTTTTCATCAAAACTCAGTATTTACCAGGAGCACAGAACCTCAACATGGAGATAGACTTTAAAGCTGCTAAACCCAGGATCTGAGGCAGTACACAAATTGTGCATAGGAAGTTGTGTATAGGAAGTCCAGACTAAAGAAACTGTTGGAAATATTTTATTGACAAGATATTACAAACTTTGTTGTTCTTTCCCTCTAACCCCTCTGATGAATTTCCCAGAAAATATAAGTAATAAGGCACTTAAATGAATAGAAAGCTATAATATCATAAATTCAAGATTAATTTACTAATGTAATACAATTCTAATTAATAAAATCCTGACTTTTTTAATGTTGTGTTTTAGTCACAAATATCCTTTAAAAGATCCTGTTTTACATAGTTCTAAATAGATAGCACTATCACGCTATCAGCACTCGGACTTACTTGAGTTTAATTCATGGCCAGGTAGTTATACCATAAGATATAGCAGGCCTCTCCTGTCTTGCCCACTGCTCCCCTTAGCAGTGTATCCAGTATATCTAGTAGATCTGCCTGTTCTGCTTCCCACTGTCTCTGATGAATTTTCTCACCCTTGTACCTCTGGCCTATACCCCAGTTCTTCTATGCATAAATAATTTTTAAAAAAAAATATAGGTAGGACCAAAAAATCAGGGGAATAAGTTTTGTAAACATTCACCAAAATTTCTTAAACATTTAACATATAGTTTAAATTATATAAAGACTTTGGCACCATAACATTCTAAATATATAATAGCTGCAACTTCTTCCAAAAGAATAGAGCTGAATCAGTGAATTAAGTACCTAATCTTTGGCCAAGTTTGACTTAGATTGTTATTTGCAGCAGAAATATCCATGATGAATAGTTTTGCTATAACAAGATGTAATAAAATATCTTTCATGAACGTATCACAGAATCAGGTAAACTTTTTTTTAAAGATTTATTTATTTATGCATACAGAACTGGGGTACAAGCCAGAGGTGCAGGGGTGGTGCGAGGCATCACCAGGGACAGCATGAGGAGCAGAAGAGGCAGTTCATCAAAGTACACTGCTGAGGGGAGCAGCAGGTGGGTCAGGAGAGGTCTGCTGTACCGTGTGGTCACCTCTGGGGCAGAAGTGGTTTTAGCTTCTTAGTGCTGTGTTTTAACCCGCTGCGCCAGCAGGGAGGGCCCAGGTAAACTTTTTATAAGAGATAAATATGAAGAAACAAACAAAAATAGTGTCTTCCTTGTAACTACTTGAACAGGTCAAAGGTGAAGTGAGAGTTTTAAAGATGCTAATATGAAAGAAATTTGAACATTGTATTCATTTCTTATTTTATACGACTTTTACTGGTTATAGTCATGCCCATAAAAATGTTCCTAAGGCATCTGAAAGTCCTTTGTAATCTTTTAACAGCATCTTTTTTTTTAAAAAGCATCATACAAAGGCTGTGCTCTAAGCAATCCCCACCGTGCACTGTGCAGTAAGACTCACCTTTAACACAAAGATCATGTGTTTGGGACTTAAGAATCATTAGATTTCACAAACATATTCTATAGTTGCTTTTTGCATGTTTTTGTTTTGGAGAGCCTCTACTTCAGGATGCTCAATAGCTGAGAGCGGACCCGTTTTTCTCTAACTCGGAGTCACTTTCAGAGTCAGCTGGACTTGCAGGGTCAGGTGAGTCTTCATTGTCATCACCTCCAGCTACATCTTCTCTTTCCCCATCAAGACCATCTTCCTCACTGAAGCCAGGGCCACACACTGTATCTTCCAGGAAATTTACTATCCATACTTTGCTGATGTAGAGATTTTTTGTCTTCTTCCCCTGTTCGGGAGTAAGATGTTACTTTGTGGTATTGTAGGGTAAATGAAGATTGCTCAGACTTTTTCACTGTTAGCGTCTGTGGCTATCACATGAGGCCTTGAATGCATGAAGTGCTTGGGAGCATGGGCTTAGGGTGCAAATGCCTGATGGTAGACCCCTGGAACCTGGTAGGGTATGCATAAGAGGGCACACGCGAGCTGAGAGACTGACACTATAAAGGCAGCATCGCAGAGGATCATATGCAGTGGCCAGTGGTGGAGACCAGGGGAGGACATCAGAGAGGGCTCAGAGGGTAAAGATTCACTGAGGGCTGGGAGGCCTGCCAGCCTCCTGGCCTCCCTGGCCTCCTGCCTGTCCTGCTTCTGGTTGCTGCATTGTAAGTGATATAGAAAGATCATCAAAAGCCTAGAAAAGATGGACCTCCT